TCTTTCTTTCTTTCTTTCTTTCTTTCTTTCTTTCTTTCTTTCTTTCTTTCTTTCTTTCTCTTTCTCCTTCCTTCCTTCCTTCCTTCCTTCCTTCCTTCCTTCCTTTCTTTCTTTCTTTCTTTCTTTCTTTCTTTCTCTCTTTCTCTTTTTGAGGCAGGGTATCATTATGTTGCCTAGGTAACTGTCAAACTCCTGATCCTTCTGCCTCAGCCTCCTGAGTTCTTCAGTTAAAGATGACTGCCACCACACCAGTTCTAACCTTTAGTTTTACTTGAAGAATTTTTTTTTTCAAACATGTCTTTACCAATTTATTCTTTGATCAGCAATTTAGAAGAGATCTAAGTTATCCATAGTCTTGCCAAATCTTATCAATCTTTTAAATTGTGGCCATTCGCCTGGATGTGTGGTAGTTTCTCCTTGTGGCCTTAATTTGCATTTTTCTGATGAGTAATGAATGTGAATACATTTGCATGTGAATTAAAACCCTTTGCAACACTGGGATTGATTGGATTTAATGCTTCTCATTCTATTACCAGACTACATCTTCACTTTTCTCTCTCTTTTCAGAGACCACATGTCGTACAGCACAGGCTGGCCTAGAACTTGCTTGGTAGTTATATGTGACACTAAACTTCTTATCCTCCTGCCTCAGCCTCCTGAGTGCTGGGATTAGAGAGCTTTGGCATACCACACTCTGTTGTCTTGTCTTCGGCCTGTTTTACACTGGGCTGGGCATCATTGGCTTGCGTGAAGTCTTGGTTATGTAAGTCTATTGCTGAGAAGACTAGCGTGGACACTTCCTGCCTTTGCTTTGTCTTGCTGATGTTTTACTTGTTCATTTATTTCCAGTCTTAGAGTTTGAGCCCATGATCTTCCACATGGCATCGCAGCCCTAAGTCGGTTTCTCAAATAGCTGTCAGGTCATTCAGATTTTTCTATTTCTCTTTGCATGTTTTAAAAATAATGTATTTTCTAAGAAAAAAAAAAACCAAAAACAAAGAGTCCCTTTCTTTGAAAAATTCAAACGTGGCCAGGTGGTAGCACATGCCTTTAAGCCTAGCATTTGAGAGGCAGAGGCAGGCAGCTCTCCTGAATTTGAGGCCAGCCTGGACTACAGAGTGAGTCCCAGGATAGCCAGGCTGTTGTAGTCCAAAAATAGCAACGCAAACCACTCAAACACCCATCCCAGTCAGATATGGATGGTTTATTGAAAGCCTGTTCCAAGCTGATCGCAGGCCACAGAGAGGACTCAGGAGCCAAACTGGTCTGCCTTTAGGGTAGCCTTGTTATAGGAAAGCCACGTATAGAAAGGCAAAGGGAGGGAACATTACATTTTGGCTAACTATACAAAGCAATATTACATATTAGCTAACTAGACAAAGTACTATCAGCTAACCTTTAAGCTGATTGGTCCTAAGTGGGGAAACTGAGGCAGTAGTTAGGGTCTTCCAGAGTACAACCAGAGTGTGTCCAAGTGTGGAGATAACACAGAGTGCACCAGAGTGTAGCCAAGTGAGAAAAAGGAGGAGTTATAACACCATTGAGTCATAGTAAAATATAAGGTTAACTTGACCGTCTGGCAGGGTCTGTAGGTAGGTTAACTTGATCTTCTGGAAGGGTTTGTTAGCATCAGCTATGAATAACTACTTCTAGGAAGTAAGTGAAAATTTTTTGAACTAAATTTCACCTTATAAACAAAAATGGGTACTGAATACAAAAATGGCTTCAGCTATGTTACAAAGAGCAGGCCTCAACAGGGCAATGTTTACAAACCCTGTCTGGAAAGAAAGTCCATAAAAGTCTTTTTTTTTTTTTTTTTTTTCCCTATAGCATTTCTGGTGATACAGATGAAACTAGCCAATATTTTATTCTGTATTATTCTATTGTGGTGTTGCTGACTAAGCCCAGGACCTCACAAACGTGCTTTTCTTCTTGATCAGTTTTTCTGGAGTTATTAAAATTCTCACTCTTTTCAAAGAGCTTATCTGTGGCAGCTTCCTGTTGAATGCTTAACTTATCATTTTCTTTCTCAGTCTAAGCTTTTCCTTCTTAGAAATGTATGTCTGTGTTAAAGATCCTTTCTCAGTGAGATCTTTCTTGACGACCCCATTCCAAACTGAAACCACCTCTCTCACTGCATTTAACATTTTTATTTTTGTGTATGGATGTTTTGCCTGCATGTATGTGTCCACCATGTCTGTGTCTGGTCCCCATGGAGGTCAGAGGATCTGATCCCCTTGGAGCTCTACCTACCAAAGTCCGATATCATGGCGCTGCCCCAGTAAAACGGATCACCCCACTTTTTCTAGTATCTTCCATAAACCGCCACACTCCTATTGCATAGCAGTCCCAAGGGGGCGGGGCAATGGGATTAGTGTCCTAAATGATAGCCTTCTATTCTTTTTAGTACCTTCATTAATTTGCTAATATAGAGTCCCTCTTTCCCCCTGCAATGGCGCGCTCTCTCTCTCTCTCCATTTTTCCATTGTTCTGCAGGATCTTCACCACACTCCAGCTTCCCCTGCTGGGGACCTTATCACCAGAAATCCATCTCTAACCGCCCCTAGAAAGAATCCTTAGTATTTAAAACAAATATAGCCCAGCCGCACTGCTGGCACATACCTTTAATCCCAGCACTCTAGAGGCAGAGGCAGGCAGATCTGAGTTCGAGGACAGTCTGATCTAAAAAGTGAGTTCCAAGAGAACCAGCACTACACAGAGAAGCCCTATCTTGAAACAAACAAACAAAAACAAATAAATAAAACAAATATAATCTTCAAAGATGAAGCCTTATTTTGTTCACAGAGGAATCTCCAGAACGTAAAACAATTTTGGTTTACACAATGAAGGAGCAGGAGGTAAATTTATCAAGATGTTATTTATATAAGACTTAATTATATTCACGGGTGAACACACAATTCTTACACAGAAGGAAATGGAATCACAAGAAAGAGGTAAATTCATGATTAGAAATCTAGGTCTAAAAGCGGGGGATGTAGCTCGGTGGTGTGGAATATTGGCTAGCCTGTACAAGGGTTTGGGTCCTAGGATATGCGGAAGTTAAAAAAAAAATCCAAATAGAAACCCAGTTCTAGCTCAACAGCCTGTGTTCTGTACTCAAACACTGAGAATTCATTTCGTAAAGCCCAGAAACTGGAAGTGATGGCGTAGACCTTTAATCCCAGCACTCAGGAGATAAAGGCAATTGGATCTCTTTGAGTTCGAGGACAGCCTGGTCTCCAGAGCCGAGTTCCACGACAGCTAGGGCTACAAAAACAACAACAACAACAACAACAAAAACAACACAGAAAACTCCTCGTACGTCTGAGCCCAGTCTTTAGCGCCCTGCACTGCCTGATTGCGGCCCCGGCGGCACAGAAGACTAACGGAACCCAAAGGCAGAGCCTGCGTTTCCGGCGGAGCGCGCTCCCCCGCCTCTCCCGGAAGCGGTGTCTGCCGCTTGGGTAACGGTGGCGGCGTGAGAGCAGCAATGGATCAGGAGGAGGCGGTAAGGACTTTGAGGATCCCGTGGAGGTCCAGCTTTACGTTCCCTAACTGAAAGGGCGGAGGAGAGCCAGGGGGAGGAGGAGGAGCAGCGCGGGGAGGAGGAGTCGGCTGACGGCGGTGACCGCATAGGGGGCGGAGCACGGGGGCGGAGGCCGCGCGGGCAGGGGAACCGGGCAGCGTGTTGTGTCAGCCCTGGGTGCGGGTGGGTGGAGTGTTTGTACACATGGGGCGTAGACCAGGAGAAAGATGAAGCTGTGGGTTTGTAGGGTGGCCATCCCCGTGGCTTATTCTCTCTGGAAGGGACCACGCAGCAAAGTTCCCTTTGACGTTGGCGCGGGTGAGGGAGAGCGGGACCTGGAACTTGGGATGCCTCCAGATAATCCCTGGGGTACCGATTCCAGACACCTACCGAAGACATTCCATGGCTGCGATGAAACACCATAAACAAGTTGGGGAGAAAAAGGTTTATTTGGCTTATACTTCCATATCCACTGTTCATCATCTAAAGAGCAGGGAAGGAACCTGGAAGCAGGAGCTGATGGGGAGCAGTGGAGGGGTGCTGCTTACTGGCTCATTTCTCATGACTTGCTCAGCCTGCCTCCCCATAGAACCCAGGACTACCAGCCCAGGGCTAGCACCACCCACAATGTGTTGGACTCTCCCGCCATCGCCATCAAACACTGATTAAGAAAATGCCTTACAGGCCAGCCTACAACTTGATCTTATGGAGGCATTTTCCTTAATTGAGCATCTCTCCTCTCAGATGACTTTAGCTTGTGTCAGGTTGACACAAAACTATCCAGTACAAGTGCCCATACCACAAAAGTGAGCAGGATGCCGTTGAACTTTTCATGTGCTTTTAACATGATAGGTATATTCAGTAATTGACCCCCTAAGTCAAACACCGAAGAATTAGGAACCAGTTCTGTTTGTGTGCATTGGCAGAATAATGACAGAGGGTCTCACAGTAGACTCAGTAAATGTATTTGTATTTATTACAAATTTGTATTTATTACAAATGTAATGTATAGATAATAAGTTGATAAAATTGAAATTACAATTTATCACGATCCATCCATATAGACCACAGTCTATCCTTTTGCTTACTGTAGAACATCCCCACCTCCAGCACCCAGTTAAATGTCTGGAACACATACAGTTGAAACCCTTTATGTTGTTGGATGAATAAATCAAAACTTGAAACATCTGCCTCGTGTTACATTCTCAGTGCCCCAAAGGAAATGCCAACCATGTGTTTCATCTTTGTATTTTTGTTTTGTCTATCCATACACTGGGTCATCTTTTTGCCCTCCACAATTCCAGGGAGGTTTCCTTAGGTCTTTGTTTCCAATTTGGCCCTATCCATCTTTCATTCTTTGTTCTCTGCATATTTTTATAGTTTTATGGGATAGTGACTGCATTTCATACTACTAAAGAGACTAAACTCTTCTCCTTATTGTAGATATTGTCTGATGTGTTTTTAGTTTTAAATGTGGGGGAACACTGGAAGTAGAACTTGAGAGCCATGGGGTTTAAAATGCATGTGCTGTCCTGACAGTAACAGTTCTCCTGCCTTCTGTAGCAGGCGTGCACAGACCGCTGTTCGCAGTGTGATGCTGTCTCCTGGGGCCTTACTGATGAAGGCAAATACTATTGTACTTCCTGCCACAATGTCACAGATGTAAGTAATGTGTCATTCACAAATTTTGCTTATGCTTTAAAATTGCAGTTTCACCTTGGTCTGTGGTCTCACTTCTAAAAAAGGAGTCTATTTTATCACTCATTCATGGCCAGATTCCAAGAATAGAAACAGTGTTAAGAGCAATATCTTGGATTTTTAAAAACATTGTAAATCAGATTGGAGATAAACTTTTAAAATTATGTTGAGCCACATTTATAAACTAATGTTTTATATAGACTGTATGTGTATAGAAGGCTTTTGTTTTCTTGTTTATTTTATTTATTTGGTGTTTTTGAGACAGGGTTTCTTTATGTAACAATCTAGGCTGTCCTAGAACACCCTCTGTAGACCAGGCTGGCCTTGAACTCACAGAGATTATCTTGCCTCTGCCTCCTGAGTGCTAGGATTAAAGGTGTGTGCCACCACACCCAGCTGGAAGTATTTAACATTACACTTGAAAGGTATTATTAGTTTTTAATGTGTTGTACTAGCTTAGAGATTTGGAAGGTGGAATGTTAGAATGATGGGAGACTGTTGAGAGTATTGGAAACATGCTTCATTATCACGTGTCTTTGTCTAATTTCTTTACAAACTACAAAGTACTTTCTCATCTATTATGTAATTCCTGCCTCACAACAATCTATGAGATACAATGTTATGCACAGACAGACCAAGCAAGCAGGGCTCATGAATTGTTACTCTTTGTTGTTGTTTTAAGACAGGCTGGGTTCTAACTCAGAAATCCAGGAGAGCTGGAAATAAAGGCTTGCACCACCACACCTGACACCAGTTGAGTTAGCTTGCTAATGTTACACGAGTGCAAAGATTTGGGGTAGGACTTGCACCTGAGTCTTCTAACCCCATCACACCTTTTTTCTTTTTTCTTTTTTCTTTTCTTTTCTTTTCTTTTCTTTTCTTTTCTTTTCTTTTCTTTTCTTTTCTTTTCTTTTGTCTTTTCTTTTCTCCTTTCTTTCTTTCTTTTCTCTCTCTCTCTTTTTTTTTTTTTTTCGAGACAAGAGTTTCTCTGTGTAGCCTAGGCTGTCCTGGAGCTCTCTCTGTAGACCAGGCTGGTCTTGATCCTGAACTCACAGTGATCCCCCTGCCTCTGCTTCCTGAGTGCTGTGATCACAGTCATGTGCCACCACCACCCAGCCACACCAGTTTCTTAAACTAGAGATTGTCACTCTGTGAGGCCGTCTCCACCCTGGAAGTTCTAGGTCCTGTTCTGGTGAGCGTACCTTAGGGCAGTAAACAAAGTGTGGGAAGCCTGCTGCTGGAGTACTTAAACATGCTGGGGTTGTTCTCCATAGGAAAGGATTTGCTGGACGTGCAGAGCTAGGAAGGAATAAGTACTGTCTTTAGCACTGGTTCAGAAAGCTAGTTTGTTACCCAAGAGAGACTGCCCAACATAGAGTGTGATAGAGGACTGATTTACCTTCCTACCTCAGATAACTCAAAATCTGGACAAAACCCATAAGAAACATAGCTAATTTAGCTTGCAACTCAGTTACACAAGTGCTTTTCTAAAAAGATAAGTGTATGTATGGGTATGTGCATGTGAGTGCAGGTGCCTGCAGAGTCCAGCAGAGGGAGCTGGGTTTGGGATGGTTGTGAGCTGCCATACATAGGTGTGGAAATTCAAGGGTTCTCTTGCAAGACTGCACATGCTCTGAGCCCTGAGCCATCTCACCAGCCCCATGGGTGTGTTTCCTGGAGGTGGTCTTCAATCTACAGCTCAGATGTTTCTTTGCTTCCATGTTACTCAGGATATTAGCAAGATATATGCTTTACCAAAAACACTGGGGAATGATGGAGTGTGATCTCCTTGATCATGGTGATGGTCTCATGGAGACATGTCTCATCAAGACGTATAAATGCTTGTATACAAATACATCAAATTGGACACTTGGAATGTATGCCATTTGTCCTCTGCTTTGATGCTCATTGAGGCTCTGTGGTTTAGTCAGTGTTAATTTGGTAGGGTAATTCAAATGTAAACAGAGTGAAGGAGCGGGATGCCATAATGGAAGAGATGGAGTCAGGGCACTATATTTATAGGACTTGAACAGCTGTAACTAATGGCTGCTTTTAGTTCTGTCTTTGATGTTTCCTGGTTCTGATTAAGTCTATTACCGTCATTTGTAGCTTGAAAGAATATAATATTACTACCTAGTTTCATATTTAAGACTCTCAACCCAAGGGAATAAGGATTCTTTAATGTGGGTGACAGTTTTTTCCTTTTCCTATTGTGCAAGGGCATGAGCTAGTGCCTTCTGTGTGCCAGGCAAGTGTCCTACTAACTACATCCCTGGCTGCACCATGATTTTGTGAAAGCCTGTGAACCTCGGAGTCTTCCCTCCACACAATAGGCAACCCTGCCTGTTACCCGACTCTAGTTGTTGCTCTTGGCTCACACTAACCCTGGCATAGTCAATGCATATAATAGCATACCACTGTGCTTCCTGGAGTTGTGCAGGGTGGTGGTGTTGAAATTCAGTGGGTGAAGAGTGGCCAGTGAGTCAGTAGGCCTGTGACAGGTGGAAGCTGTGGGACAGCTCTCCCGACTCTGCTTCTCTCCTTTCCCCCAGCTCTCTGTGTGTGATTCTTCAAGTTCGTGGCACTGTGTTCAGTCCAAGCAAAGCCTTATGAGTGGAAAGCTTCTTTCCTGGTGTGTTTTATTCAGGAAAAAGAATCTAAAGTCCTTAATCTGTCCAGTTTAGACAACATATTTTTTTTTGTAAGTCTTGTAAGTATTTAATAAAAAGTATGGGCCCAAAATATGTGAGTTTAGGAGATTTTATAAGAACAATGCATATTCATTATAGGAAATTTGAAAACTGCAGGTGAAAGCCAAAATCACTAATATTCTCAGTATATATTCAGCAGCTTCGCTCAGCCTTGTTTCTGTGTGTATGGAGGGGAAAGGGAGACTTGCAAGTACCACCGAGCCTTTTGTTTTGATGTTTTTAACTGTGCTGTTCTAAGAATTGCAGGTTTCTAATTAGAATGTAAATAGTCTACAATCTAACCATGAGAATGTTTAGCATTTCCGAGTTTTTCTTTTATGTCCTAGATAGTTCAAATGTAAAAGCCCCCTTCTCACCACTTGCATGTTTTACCTTCTCACTGTGGCTAACTTAGTATATCATATATCTTTGAAAATAATATCTGCAGTCCAGAAAACTTGTTGGTGGAGGCATGTCTCTTATTCTTGAGAAGGGCTTATGTAGCCCAGGCTGGCTCTTGGGGATTGACCTAAGGTTTAGACATGTTAGGTTGGCTAGGTTACTACACAGTCATGCCTTTTATTCTTACGAGGCTCACCCTGCTGGGGGTGATAGAGTCTGGAAACCCAGTGCTCAGAGGACAGGCAGATCCCAGACCTGACGCTTGCCCAGACTTTCTGGAACCCCCTTCAAAAAAACCAGAGATAAGCTTTATTCTCTTAGACTTTTGGTTGTGAGCCTAGCCTTTAATGGCTGAGCCGTCTCTCCTGCCCTTCATTCTCAGTCTTTAAATTTAGAAAAGTATATTAATATCATTTATTTTTTTTAATTTTTACTTTTCTCCAGAAATAAGACTCAGTATTTTGTTCTTTGTTATAAGAAAGTCAATCTAAGATAATTGCCCTTGGTAGCAGTTGTCATTGATCAGTTTGTTATAAATGGTACTAACCATTAACCATTTTAAAATTCTGTTTTGCTGAAAATAAAAAACAGTGCTTTTATTTTATCTTTTCTTTCTTTCTTTCTTTCTTTTTTTTTTTTTTTTTTTCCCAGATAGGGTCTTACTTTGTAACCCTGTCTTGTCTGAACTTTCTATGTAGACCAGGCTGGCCCTGCCTCTGATTCCCAAGTGCTGGGATTAAAGGTATAGCCCACACCCATGACAGTACTTTTGTAAGTGAAATCCTCTCTGAGTAATGTTCACACAACCATGCTGAGGGAATAGCAGCCTCCTTGTGTGACAGGCATCAGCATGCATGGTGAGTCAGGGAGTTGGTGGTTTTGTTTTTGTTGTTGTTTACTTGCTTTGAAGGAGGCTCTGTAGCATAGGCTGGCCTTAAACTCTTGAGCTTCCTGCCTTCACCTTCATAGTGCAGGATTGTGGGGGTGTGCTACTACCTGTAACCATAAATTACTGTTAAAGTGTATTTTGCATGAATACAAAATGGAGTATATTTTATTTTTGGTCCTGTTTGAAAAGTTAATATAATTTTTAAATGGTTCTCCTTATTTTTAAAAAATTAAAATTTATCTTTTAATACTTTTTGTTTTGTTTTTGCTTTCAAGATAGGGTTGCACTGTGTAGCCCTGGCTGCCCTGGAACTTATTTTGTAGACCAGGCTGGCCTCAAATTCAAAAAAATCTGCTTGCCTCTGCATCTCAAATGCTGGGATTAAAGTCATGCATCACCATGCCATGCTTTTAGAATTCATATTTATTTAAAATATAATTACATGGTTTAAAGTAAAGGTTTATTTGTTTGGTTACTGTGTAACTCACTCTTTTAGGAACCCCAAATTTTTTGAATGAAAAAGACTGACCATCATAGTGTGGTTTCACTGTCCTCTGTCAGTCATTTTCAGTTTGGGACCTGGACACTGCCCAGAGCACACTTGGACTATGTCTCAGGGACCTCACTCTGTCTTTACCGTCTGTGTTTGTTTTCTGCAGCGATCTGAGGAAGTTGTAAGTACTGCAGTCATTCCTAACACCAAGATCAACTCCATCAGCAGGGGGCTGAAAAAGAGAAGCAAGCACGGTGAGCACTAACATGCACTTCAAGGCTCTGTTCCATGTTCCTTCATGGTTTGAGGACACAGAACGAATTTTAAATAGATTCCAGACAGAATGCCAGCATTTTAAGCAGAAAATCTAAGTTACTAAATATAGATAAATAACAGAGGGTATGTTTAAGTACTAACATATATTCCTGTTTAACCTTTAGTAGTGACTTTAAAAGAAAAGATTATTTTATATATATGCATGTAGGTGTTTGTCTGCATGTATGTTTGTGTACCATGTGTGTAGCTTCCTTTAGAGGCCAGGGGACTGTGTTGGACTCCCTGGAACCCAGAGTTATAGATGATTGTGACCCACCATGTAGGTGCTGGGAACCACACCCAGGTCCTTTTTGAGAGCAGCCGTTGTTCTTCATTGCTGAACCATCTGCCTCTATAGTCCAGTAGTGACTCTTTAGAGGCTACAACCTGATCGATTTTTATTCAGTTTTATCACAGTAAAATGTGGTTAATGGTAATTCATATATGTAAATCGTTAAAATGTATAGGGCTTAAATGTCTACAAAAAGTTGGATGCTTGCTTAGGTAGTGTCTCATAGTCAATACCATAGTCATTGGCATTGTCACCTGTGAAAAGAGAATAGTCACACCATTGTTACATACAGTAGGAGAGTGCAGAGAGTTTAAAAGGCAACATTATCAGTTTCTGAGTGTGAGACAGTGTGTGGGAACCCTATGCATGCATACCACTTGAAGGGTCTAATCCCACTTAACTTGTGCATGCATCAGAGATTACAGGCCTTTTGTTATATCTGAGACTCTTCCCAGGAGGGAATTTGTTAGTCATTGTGGGCAGGAGACTCTGTGATATTCAGGTAAGTGAAAGGGGTTGGAGTCTTCCCAGTGTGCAGAGGAGTCATGTGGGAGTCAGTAACAGACTTCAGGAGCCATGCGTGAGAAATTTTGATAGCGTGATTCGAATGGGTTTCTGTATTTGTCTGGTAGTGGCAGGCAAAAAACAACGGTCTTCACCCATTGTAACATTTTCTCTAACTGGTTGCTACCATAGCTAAACCTATGATTCTGACTGCTCTGACAGATTTCTTTATGATCTCTTAGTGTTGTGAGGCTCACAAGAATAGTCTGTTTAAAATATTTAGGAGCTGGGAAGATGGATCCATCAGTGAAATACCTGACATACAAGCACTAGAGGTCAGATCAAACTGTGTAAAAGCTGCTAATGTCAGCATGCTTCTTGTAACCTCAGTATTGGGAGGGATGAAGCTTACTGGCCAGCCATCCTGGCCAAATCCATGAGTTTCAGATTCACTGAGAGACCCCATTTAAAAACATGAAAATGGAAGTGCTGGAGAGCTGGCTCAGTGGTTAAGACCACTTGCTTTTCTGGGACCTTGGGTCACATCTCAGTACCCACATGATGGCTCACAACCGTCTATAATTTGAGTTCCAGGGGATCCGATCCCTTGTGGCTTCCATGGGCACCAGGCATGTATATGTGGTACCTATATGTCCATACACAGGAGATGAGATAATACTAATTTTAAAAAAATGCAGAGTGATCGAGGAAGACCCTGTCATTGATTATAGACCTACACACACCCATATGCAGCCACATGCTACCCACCGACATGTGCACACACACACTAACAATTACAAACACTGCACACAATACCACACACACACACACAACCTTAAAAAGGGAAAAAGGAAATACTTAGGATATATCTGGTACCTAGGCACTACTAGTATGTATCAGATTTTTTTATTTTCGGTTTCCCTCTCTAAGCTGGAAACATTTTCACAAAAGCATAATGCTATTGCAAGTTTACTTTCTTTGTGCGGATTGCCCTTTCCTGATGCCTGGACATCATTTCTTGTATCTTGACATTTGTTTATTTGTTGACCAAAATATGTGTTGAAATGGAACTGAATAATCTGAATAAGTGAATAATAATTATTCAGGGATATAGAGGCAAGGCGGATCTTTGTGAGTTCAAGGCCAGCCTGGTCTACAAAGCAAGTCCAGGTTAGTTAAGGCTACACAGAGAAAACCTGTCTCAAAAAAACAAAACAGACAAACACAAAACAAATAAAAAAAAGAAATGGAACAGAAAACTGGTGGACGCAGCAACCAAGTATTTCAATATAGGAATGTTTTGAGCACTGTAAAATACACATTTAAAAAAACCTAAATTTCAAACCTGCCACAGAGAGCCTCTGAAAGCCTCTGCAGTATAGACTGTCAAAGCAGATGCTGAGCCTGATGGCCAACTGATGGGCAGAGTGAATGGAATTTTATGTAAGAAGTGGGAAATAGTAAGAGCTGAAGGGGATGGGAACTCCACAAGCAGAGCAACAGAACAAGATAATTTGAACACAGGGAACTTCCCAGAGACTCATACTCCAACCAAGGACTATTCGTGGAGATAACCTAGAACTCCTGCACAGATGTAGCCCATGGCAGTTCAGTGTCCAAGTGGGTTACATAGTAATGGGAAGAGGGACTGCCTCTGACATAATCTGATTGGCCTGCTCTTTGATCACCTCCCCCTGAGGGGGGAGCAGCCTTACCAGGCCATGGTAGAGGACAATGCAGCCAATTTTGATGAGAACTGATAGACTAAGATCAGAAAGGAGAGGAGAACCTCCCCTATCAGCGGACTTGGGGAGTGGCATGCATGCAGAAAGGAGAGGGAGGGTGGGATCGGGAGGGGAGGAGGGAGGGGTTTATGGGGGGATACAAAATGAATAAAGTGTAATTAATAAAAAATTAAAAAAAAAACACCTAAATTTCTCCTGAAGAAACCTGATAAGCTAGGGTCAGATGAAAGGGGCAGGGATGAGATGAGGGAGGGAAGGTGGGATTAGAAGGGAATGAGGGAGCGGGCCACAGCTGGGATACAAAGTTAATAAACTGTAACTAATATTTAAAAAATAAAATAAAATAATTAAAAAAAAAAAACTTAAATTTCACTGGGTATGCTCAGGAGGCAGGAGTAGACAGATCTCTTTGAATTTGAACTCAGTCTACAGAGCGAGTTCCAGGATAGGCAGGGCTACAAACACACAAACAAAAAAACCCAAACAAAACAAAACAACAAAACCCCCAAAGCAGGCACACAAACTCACACACAGCATACACAAACACACAAATATACACACACAAACTGTACATACACCAAGTGTATATACACAGACATACATAAAATATACAATCACACATAAAGAAAAGAAACTGAGGTACAAATACATGTACAAATACATGAGGTACCTGTGTCTGTTAGCCCATGTCAACAGAGATTGTGTTTTGTAAAAACATCATAGTAAAGTATTAGTATATGCATCTAAAGCTTGTTGTCTATCCTGTAGAGAAAGGCTGGGACTGGTGTGTGTGTGAAGGTTTCCAGTGCATCCTTTATCACCAAGCACAAGCCCTGGAGGCCCTGGGAGTAGGCCCAGAGCTAAAGGTAAGCAACATGTATCTACATGTTAGCTACTCATCCTTTGAAAAGTGAGTTTTGAACATCTAGGCATGGTGGTGCATGCCTGTAATCTCAGCACTCAGGAGGCAGAGGCCAGGTGGATCTTTGTGAGTTCAAGGCCAGCCTGGTCTACAGAGTGAGTTCCAGGATAGGCAGGATTACACACAAACGAACAAATAAAAATAATAGAATAGAATAGAATAGAATAGAATAGAATAGAATAGAATAGAATAGAATAGAATAGAATAGAATAGAATAGAATA